CGGCCCAGGTGCAGGACCTTGCATTTTGACACCCACACACATCATGTTCTTAACACAAAGCCTGCTGTTTCAGCCTACAGTTATCCCCCAGACTAGTGATTTTGCCTGCTATTTCTTTGCTAGTTGTTCCCACAGAAACCTTTGGTTCCCATGGTTCGGCCCCAGACTGTATTAACACATTCCTCAAACAAACAAAAATAAATAAAAAAACCCACAGGGTGTCATCACTTCCTAAGCTGACACCAAAAGTTCAACCTTTGCCCAACATCAGCCGTGTACACTCAACACAAAAGATCCAATTAAAATCGGAAGAAACAGGGATGGTGCATGTCTACCAGAAAAGATGCTGGATGCTACTGTAGCAAGGACATTTTTCATATTTAATTCAGGAAAACTTTTTTTTCCAAACCTGCCAAAACCAATTTGTATTACCCAAGAATTCATCTCTAGCTCACTACAAACTACAAAATATTCCACATACAACTCATTTACCACGTCTCCCTGGTAACAGCTGAAGTTTGTTAGCGTTCTGCACAGCGAGCCCGTTTTCCTCTCCATCACCACCCTCTTTGGAACGATCGGTTACCATTTCTGTTGTCAGCAAGTTTGTTTTCTTAAAGGTAATAAAGTACTCCCCCACTGGCCATGCAGGCACTGATAACTCAAAAGAGAGGTTGGAAGTAAAATACAAATCCGATCAGCACTCCAAAATATCCACAACTTCATCATCTTTGATAAGCCTCGGAGTTTTGTTGTGTCCCCTTACTAATCATTACAAAGTGAACACTTGAATACTTCCCAAACACCTGATACAAGCTACTATCCAGAGAGCAATCTGCCAACCTGTTCTGTAGAGTTGTACGAGACAGCTTTTATTAGTGGTACTAATCAGAAAGCATTTATCTTTATTTTCCACAAATGGGACAGGAACATGCAATACTGAATATAAGCTTTGTAGCAGAAGATGGGTTTTGCAGGTTTAGTCTCTTGATCAGATCTACATTCCTGTTTAGATGAAACAAACACAGTGTCTACGTCACTTTGCTAATATTACTTTCCTATGAAGTTTTTTAATTCGTCCAAGTTCAATCACCTTCTCCCATCCACCCGACTCCAAAAATTGTCAGGAGGCTGATTCAGGATTTGTTTACAGATTGACATCTTACCAATCGGCAATAAGGCAAACAAGACGTTCAGAGAAACGACGTAGTTTTGTGACGGTTTGTGGCCAGAATGACATCTCCACTCTGGGGAAACTCCTCTTTTCTGCCTTTCTTCTTGTGTTATTCCACACACCCTGGAGGCTACCAGGTCACATCTGCAGACATGGAACAGACCGCTCAGCTGTGGGCTGAAACTCTACATTTGCTCCCCTTTACTCTTCCCAAACGTTGGTTTAGGGTTTTATGCAGTAGGTGGAGGGGAGTGGGGGGGAAAAAAAAACAAAAACAAAAACAAAAACAAACAAACCACACAACATCTACATGTTCCAGTTCTTTCCTCCAGAAACAATTAATTCTCCAGTAACGATCAAGTCACTGGGATAAACAGGCCCACCTAACACAACTTTAGGCTTTCACAGCCCTGTGAAAAACACTGCCTGAAGAGCCAACGTACCCAGGTAATGAAGAAATTCTGAGTTCATCTCATTGGAAAAAAGGTTCAGAACTTTTTCCATCAGGAAGATCTAGACCTAGAGAATTCTCGTGACTTAAAGGTTTGGTCTTAACATTTGTTTCACAAACAAGAAAGGTTGTTACACAAAGTATTTGTTTTCAAAAAAAAGCTATGGATATTTATTGAACAACTATGAGACCACAGAAAGTTTTCATGATTAGATACTACAAAATGTGGTAAGTTTTTATAAAGGTATACATACACAAAGTTGCCTACAGGACTGAACTTATTTAGCTACAGGCAGAAGATAAAGGAAAGAGTTAACATCATAAACAGCCAAGTAATGACAGATTCAGACATACTACAATATACAAACAAGTATTTCTTGGTTAAAATCAACATCAGTACAAAGATTGTTCTTCTGCTTCTACTGTTTTAGTCTTGGTAGGAGCAGGCAGGCATCTCTTGTAGAGAAGTATCATCACCAGAAGTTTAAGTAGACCTGAAATAAATGAACTGTTTCAGCAAGCAGTGTTTCAAGTCATCATAAGCAGGTAAAACATTCAAATTTTATAAGCAGAAATATGTAGAAAGACTGCTTTCGTTTGGATCAAGGTACAATATAAAATAACTTAGTGATCAAATAGCTGATCTTGCCAAGTTTTCTTTTTATAACATGGCACCATCTCGATGCATTTAAGAGTGCATCGTGCAGAAACGCTAAGTGATTCAAATTAATATGCAAAAAGATCATTATGAAGCAACTGTTTGTCTTCTGTCCTAAGTAACTTATTTTTAGAATAAGCTTGAGATGACTCACGCTACTGTACCATTAAAACATACAGATCATTCTCAGTGCCCTCAGGTTGGCACAAGCAACTTGTAAATGTCAGAAGAGCATATAAACCTTGTTAATGTTTTCAGAAATTCATTTAAAGATAGAAACAGGTCCAAAAAGATGCCTGTCTAAATGCATTGCAATTACGTTACAATTATTTTCCAAATACACAGATATGCTCTGTCTTTTCTCAGCTCATTACTGACTCGAACAATTTGCCCTTCTGGGATCAATTGTTTGCTAATAAATAATTGTTTACAGTCACAAAATGATATTAAGGAGTATTCTTATTAGTTTTCCTACTACAGCCTAATAAGATTCAAAACTAGCTGATTCCCAAGAGTCTAACCTTAACCTCGCTGTGTTTAACAGCCCAGGAAATGATGAACCATCTGTTTCAGAAAATAATGGAGGGCCAAGAGGAAATATTGTTTAATTGTAGATTAACCTCCTCATACGGCAGAATGAAGCATCTACAGAATTAGGAACCATAACTAACAATGAACAAAAATAACCAAAAGCAGCGCTTACTATTACAAGACCAATAGTGGCAAGTATGCTTCCATCCCTTTTTTTTTTTTTCCAAACCCTTCCAAACATATCTAACAAGTACAATCTAATTTTAGAAATAAATCTGAATTATCATCTTTGGGTTTTGAGAGGGTTTTTTTTCAGTAGAGAATGCACCAGAAATAAGTGTTGAAATAGTTCTGGGTTCTATTTTTCTGTGAGTATCAAAATTATTTTAAAACACGCCTCTCCAAGTGAGAGATGGTATGTTTATTCTTCTGTAACTTCCACCTCACAACCCCACAGCAATGAAATAAATGGCTGCTCCAAAGCAACACATGAGTCACTTCAGGGGTAGGGAGGTCTTGAGGTTATACACTCAAAAACTTTGATCTCTTATGCAGGTCAATTTACCTAGCCACTTAGATACTAAATAACGGAGACAACCAGATAAAGTATTAAGACAGTCTGAGTACTAGAAGGGGAGGGGGGGAACAAAAAATGCAATGACAAGCCACAGGAATCTGGAAATAAAAACAACTGCTCCTGTGCCAGCATAATGAAGAGCAGCGCAATTCTGTGCTGTGACAGCAATTTTTCTATGGAACATTCACGCCAAAAGCGAGCTTAACAGAAATCTTTTACCGCCATCAATCAGTTTGCCCCATTTTGACAGCAAGAATGATAGAAAAGTGTGTTATCAGAGGGCTGCAGCAAACTCCAATACACGGGAACCGAGAAAGCTTTTCCTCGATTTTACACAACCTTCCTAGACCAGTATCTAGATTCGCTTCTGACTGTCACAGCTGGGTGCGTGCTCAAGGTGTAAAGATTTCATTAATTCCAACTTTTAAATATCCAAACACAGTAACATTTACTCCAATAAATTATTCTCAAGTTCTTCAGTTAATTCTTGAAGCAATGAGCTACCAATAACTCCACAGCTTCATATAATAGCACCTATTCAAAAAGGATAAGAGTTTGACATTCTTCTCCCACCAAACAACTAAGCACAATTTTATCCATCAGACGTCTATCAACCTACGGATATTGAAAGCTTGGGCGAACAAGATAAAATCAAAACCAACCCTACTGTCAAGCTGCACTATCTCCCGGCATTAATAACGCTATTCATGAATTTAGGAAAATTAATAAATCTTGGGATGAACGCTGGGAAAAAGTCTCAAACACAGGTGAAGCATACTCACTTGGGTTTTGTTTCTGCATCTGTCACTTGGCGAATATAGATACCATCTTCGGGATGTTCAATGTCATCCATTTCGTACATATAGGAAGAAGCTATCGCGAGGGTAGTTCCATCGTTGCTGAAGGCAAGCGATGCTATGCTCGTGGGATACCGATGGAACTGGCACAGCCGCTTTTTATTAAACGGATCCCAAATGTTTACGAATCCATCTGAACCTCCTGAAAATAAAATTTTTTAAAAACCTGCTTGTAGATTACAATTGGGAGAACGGTAAGACTGAAAAGATACAGCGAAGGGAGGACGAAAAAAAAAAATAAAAAGGAAGGAAATGAGAAAAACTACCTGGAACTACTTTGTCAGTAAAAACACAGGGTTATAGAGTTGCATGATTCAGTAAAGTTGAGTATTTCCCAAAATCCTTGTTAAAGCAATTAACTCTCACTGCACCGAATAATTTAAAAACCCTGCTCACTGCAAGAAATACAATTTAAACACATATGAAGTAAAGGCTGACCTGATTAAATCAAAAGGAATCGATGCAAGAGTTACAAAAAAATGAGTATCTACCCTACCTGTAGCAAACGTGTTGTGGACGTTATGGAAAGAAATAGCATTAACTGGATAAATCTGCTCAATGTTATTTTCCTTCAAACGGTGACATTTAAATGCATATTTCTTCTTCTGGATTTCTGGACTTGGATCCAAATATTCCACTGCAACACGACCTTCAATAGAACTCAAAACATAACCCTACCAAAAAAATTTTGGAGACAGGCATTTTAGAAATTTACAACTGGAGAAAAGATTGCAAAGCAATTCATCTTATATCCCTTCACATTCAAATAAATTCAATGTGAACAGTCTCAAATCGTGTACAATCAGAAATTGTTTGTTACCACAGACCCACAGCATCATCAATAAAAGTTGCTTCTAAGAAAGAAGTAATGCAGAAAAACACTTCCTGAGAGAGATTCTCATTGCACCACAGTCTTAAGCTAATAGGGAGACTTTTAATCACCCCTGCGGATCCAAACACAAGTTGATTTGGCAGGGGGAAAAAAAAAAAGTTAAGAGTTAAGAATCTCTTGTACTTGCCCACCTATCCCCCCAGGGCTAAAGATCCAAAACAGTCACAGGACTATTTAGCTTCAGAATTACACTAAAATTAATTCAGCACTTTATACTAGCAACTAAACACTCAAGTTGAAATAGTACGTTCAGTGAAACTTCATTTTAAGTGGTATCCACTTATCCAGTTAATTACAGTTCTGACTCAGAGCAACCTGAGATGCTTTTATTATAACTTCTGAGTTAAGACTATAATAGATCTTTTCAGAAACAGGATTGTAATGACATCTAGCTATAACAAGGTTCTTTAAAATCCATAATACAATACAATCTGGAAGATCAGCTTGTTTTACTATAACCAGAACTGAAAATGGACAAAAGCACTCACGCCAGTTCAAGAACAAGTAACTAGGTCTTGCAATTCCTGTACTATCACTACGTACAAGGGAAAATTCCCTTCAAGATCAGTTTGTCAGGGAAAGTTAATCCTCTTGCTCTTACTTCAGGAAAAGAAATACCACGGATACACTAGGTTACAGGGAACAGCTGTATGATCATCTAAATTGCACAATTCCCCCTAGATAATGGATCATGGGTTCTTGAGTGCCTGACACTGACTTAGAGCTAAAATAAATAAATATATACAGACACAAATAGATACACACATACACGACATTCACACAGTTTTAATCCTGTCCCTGTTCACAGCCTAGAGAACTAAGGGCTACAATGCAGGAAGGCTGCTGAACAACCGCCAACTCCATCTTTCTCTTCTACTGCAACTTTGTGGATTTTGTGGGGGTTTTTAATTACATGTTAGCATTGTGATGTATTAAATAGGATTTTCTTAGAAAAAAAGGAGATAAAATTGAGGGCAACAAAAAAATTTACAGCATATGCTGTAAGTCAGTGGCAAACATTCCCAAGCCACACTATTAAAGAGTTAACCTGGACTAAGCAGCCTCAACATCATTTTCTTCCCCTCTCCCAGAGCTTAATTACAAAACTTTGAGGACCAGAATTACTTCTTTTTAATGAGAGAAAGATGCAGAAAACTTGAAAAGTAAACCACTGCTGTCCCTAAAGAATATTCAGCAGAAATATAGACATGGTTCCCATACCTGTTTATTTGGAAATGCTCTGATACAGCGGGTCTGGTATTTCAGACTTGATTCTCTTCGCTGCTGAACGTAGCCCATGTTCCGCAAATCCCACACCAGCACTCTCCGACCTGCCGTCCCCACAATTAGTCTGTCTCCAGACACAGAAAGTGTGTAGACCTTAAAAAAAAAAAAAAAAATTAACACTTATTAGCCTGGATATCCGTTTTTGTAGAAAATGTCAGCAATACACAATAAAAATACAGGTGATGTCTACAGTAAAGTCTACAGCTATAGAATTCCCTTCAGCTCTAATTTATAACTTAAATTTGGAATAAACAGTAGTATGCAGCTGGTTAGTGATAAGAGACTTGACACAGCTTTTCAAAATCTCACCCTGGATTCTGTGCCCTAGCACATAGCTGAAAAAAAAAAAACAACCCTGAGCCTAGTGCAATTCCACACTCCATATAACTGATTTAGTAAAAAATAAGACAAAGTATATACACTTGTGCAATTTAAATTTCAAGCACGTTTGTTCAGTTACCAGCCTCCAGGTCTCAGTGATACATCTAAATCTTCCCCACATGAGAGGTCTTCCTTTTGCTGGTATTACCCACATTCTAAATGCTACACATGTAGAGAAGTATTTATATATAATTCAAAAGGGAAATCCATATTATTCACATTTTCCTCAAAAATTATTTCAAGAACTAAATTTATTGAATATCTCAAGGCAAGAGGAAAAGAGATACAAAGTAACAGGAGGGGGAAGAGGACATGGATACTGGAATTCATCTTTGCATTCTCCACAATCAATTCACGATCCTGCAGTTTCACCCTCTAACATGACATCAAACTTTTTCTTCTCGGTTTTCCTCCATCTGGTAATTACGTGGTTCTCTTTTTAAACAGAATACTTTGAGTTGCACTTCGGGTTAATGAAAGGAAACAAATTGCCAAGAAATCATTTAAAAACAGTACTTCGTATAGTTGAATAAAACAAAGTGAAATTGAAGGAAGCAATGCTTGACACCACTAAAAAAAAAAAAAAAAAAAAAGGCTTGGAATTTCAACTCTACTGCAAAAATTAGCTCAGAGGTTCTAATTTGGGTTTAGCAAATTTCTCACGAAAATATCCAGCATGGTTCTGGCCTCCACCTATTGCTTGGGATGCAGTTAATCTGCAAATCTGTTTAAAAAAAAAAGAACTAAGGTTCAGTCAAAACCCTCTGTGGTATCAAACGAATTCCAGGTTGCTGACAACAAGCAAGATGGAATCCAGCTTCCTGCAGCCACCCTGCCACTGAGCGGCTAACGAGCACGCGGCGAGAACGAGCTTTTTCAAAAGTGATGTAATGCAGCTAAATACGTAGGGAACAGATAGCGTGTGTACCTCGGATCAAGAATCAAAAGCGTAATCCTGGTATCCTGCCAGAAGGATTCCATTTATTTTTGGCACGTGCATGTACAGTTTCGCTCAAGCACCCAGTTTCACTTTCTGGTTCACTGATAAAGCCCAAGAAAGCAATCTGGTTCTGTAAGTCTACACTGACATATCAGCTAGAACAACTTCTCTCTACATTTGCTATAAACATTTCTGACAAAAATCTGTTTTCAAGAAGTTGATTTCCAATTAAAAAAAACTAAGCAGACAGGTATGTGGTGGGTATAGAAGGAAATATATTATAT